CTTTTCTATTTACAATCTTAAGTCATAATCTACATAAAATAAAATATATAATATAGATAAAATTTAAAAAGATTTACTATACGCATAAAAGTAATATATACATAGTCAAATATTAGAACACGTTAAGTATTCTTCGTTTGAAAGTTCTTTAGTGATACAAATATATAATTTTGTTTATCCAAAATTTGATCCTGAAAGAATAAAGTCCTGGAAATTAAGAGATACCTGATTTTCGGTTTCTTGTGCACTAGTAAATAGATCTGTGCCTTTAATTAAGTTATTATATTTCTGCTCAACGGTAAAATCATTAAAAGTTGAGTTTACAGAAATAGTGTTTGGAGGTACAAAAGGTCGGCCTCCAGTTGTTGGATTGGGTTGGCTCATGGTAATAATTTAAATTTTCTCTTGAAGAGTTTTTGGCTCAAAAAAAAAAAAAAGAAAAGAAAAATCAAAAAAATTCGGATATTTATAATAGAATGTAGCCAATGGAACGATTATAATTCGTTATGGTTTTTTTTTTTAGTAATGCATTTGAAATTGATGTTTTTGATAAATACGGCATGAAAAATACGCCAGGAATAATTATAGTCATAGTTGAAGACGGAATTTTGACTAATACAGACGCGTTGAATGATTAGATAGCTATGCGACTACGCCCTTGATTAGTGGTGACGCTGAAACCAACAGTTACCTAAGTACAATAACCTAGTATCTAAAGCAATGCAATTAAAATAGGTTTACATTTCGGTTCTTGTATTTGTTTCATTTGATTGGTTAACCGATATAGATCTTAAATAAAGTTGTGGCTGATCTCAAATAAAGTTGTGGCTAAAGCGGAGTTATTCGTTTTGGATAATTTATAGATCAATACATTGAGTTAACTCCGCAGCTGACCTCAAATAAGGAAATGAATGCCACCAAATATAGGGATCGTCTAAAGCAGGTATATAGTTTTTATAATAAATTTGTAATGTAAAAGTCACGTGAGGCATATAAATTACTGAGACGATCCCAAATATAGAATTGTTTCTAAAAATATTTAGAGTCCAAAAATAGATTATTTAATAATCTATTTTAGATATATGGGTTTTTCTTTTGTAATACTCAAATCGAGAAATAGTAATTTGGACTATAAAATAATTTATCATACAAAAATATATACTAAGATATTCAGTTATTTTATACCGTATTTACGAAAAATAACATTTATGGGCGTTATTTCGTCGAAGAGAGCTCATAATTAATTTATCTAAATGCGAATCATAATTTTTTTGTTACCAAGTCTTTGCCTAATTAATGATCAACTCTCTTCAAACTATGTGTCCAAGATAAACGCCCATGGGCGTTATTTCGCGCAAATACGGTAAATTGATTATAATAAAGCATTGAACATGAAGCCTTTGATTCATATTCTCTTAATTAGAATTCTGTTTATTTTTTGTATATCATGAAGATAACGTAAATACACGATTCTTGATCAAAAAAATATGCATTCTTAACAGATTTTAGTGTTTCAAATTAAGTATGTGATTTCTTTTTTGGGTACAATACATTTCTCCAATAGCCATTACCTGATATTATACAAGGCAATTTCATTAGTTGCAGGCATATATTGTTAATAAATTGCCATCTTATGTGATGTCGGATAAATGGCCTATCGGAAAAATGTCCATCGAGGAAATGAGGCGTAACCGTTATAATATAAGCTACAATCACATGATTAGTAATTGTTTAAGTATGTATAGTATTGGGCATCGACCGAATACCGTAATTCGCTACATCCCATTGATAGCACTTGATCTCTTACGGTATAATTGATCTCTTTAATAGTGCCGTAAATTCTCGAAATAACAGGCATCTGCGCGTTATTTTGAATACCTGCGCAATAACAGATAGTTATTCTAATCGTGACGAATCTTCTTGATTAACACATAATGTGTGAATTTTCATTTTATTAGTCAATCTTCACTATTGACTAACATAATAAATCTGCGCGTGATAACCGTGGAGATTCTTCACGGTTATCATGTGCAAAGTATTTATTCTGAAACTTAAAAACATTCTATATAATCAGAATTATCATAGAGTGCGCATTATTTCGGGACGCGCATAGAAGTTATTTCAAAACCTTAAATAGCACGATTTTCGCAACAGCGCCGATGCCCGTTATTTCGGGAATTTACGTATATAGTTATTGGATGTGAAGCAGCCAATCTCTAAAATAATTTATCTGGCTGTGAAATTTAATATGCTTCAGAAATGACACATGAAAATTTGCTGCCAGGTAAATAAGGTATTTGCTGCCTAGCATACGAGTGCTACGAAGCGAAAATCAAGAAATCTAAATATAGATCACTATAAAACAATAACATTCTAAACTTAGACTTTTGGTTTTCACCTAGTAATACTCATATTATCTGGTGGTTTATGGTGGATGAGTGCGTAAGTCGCCAAATACCGAGATGCGTGCATGTGTACAGTGTTGGGCAATATGGACATTTGGACTTATTAACAATAATATGGACATAGTAATTTATGGACATGGACATATAGGTTTGGACATGGTCTAAATTTTAAAAAATATGGACATATACCAAGTGCCAACACTGCATGTGTATATATGCTAATTTTCCTTTCTGAGTTTGTATCACATGGAATTGATTAACCAAAAACTATATTGCATGTTTTTGGTTTTCTGTACCATATTACTGTATATTGATTAATTGATGATTCTTCTGTTTACTGGAGAATCATCAATTAAGTCAAAAGAGCTTAAACTTTAAATATATTACAGGAGATTAAATGTAGTATAGCTTACCTCTTTTAAAAAATATATTAAAATTAGTCATTTTATATAGTTATTTTATTATATTTATATTGTAATT